CCCGTGCAAAATTTGAGGGTTTTGCCCTCTTGAAGATTATTCAGGGGTTTTGAGCGCGCACACATCGTGGGCTCAAATCGAATGTTGAAAAGTAGTCAGCCACCTTAAATTTTAATAATTGGTAATTTTAATAATTGACCAATGATAAATATGGGTTCTCATTTACAATTCAAAAATAATTGTTCCGATATGGTGTTTTTAATTTTAATAAGTGTTTTTGTTTTGTTTTTTAACTGTGAGCTATTACCCTGGAAGGTCTTTTAATCATATCAAAAATTAACATTCCAAATGACCCTTGGAACACGCTTTGGTGGATTTTTTTAAAAGTTTATAACCACGAAACAATGGTTTGAAGTTGAGACTTGGGTAGCATGGGTAGCATACACTGCTAACCCGTCATCTTTCACCAATATGATTCTAAAGGTTCAGGTCACTGGTTCGACCCCTGCAGACACCATATGTCAATTGAGTTTGTTTTATGTGTTCTCTCCTATGCTGTGAGGGTTTTCTCCCATAAAAAACAACATGTGAGTTGAGCATTGTGTGCATAGAATATTAAATGTAGTGGTACTGCGTGGGAGTGAGTCCTCATCCTATTAGTGCAAAAGCGCTAGAACGACTAGATAATATAAAGACACTGAACCTGATTCATTTATTCATTAAGTCCAACCTCGACTTGAAACCATTGTTTTGTGGTCATCCAAGCAAGTTTGGGAAAGGTCTTTTGGCTAAATTTTAGCCATTGGTGGTTTGATATTTCAAGTACTCTTGGCAAACAATTTGAGAAATCGCTCCTGAAAAATTCTCCTGATATTAGCTGGGAAAATCCATACTCAAGACATTCTCCGACGTCGGATAGGCTCTTGGAAATAATTGACGATCGTGACTTGAGCCAACACGTCAAAAAACCAACTAGAAGAGACGGCAGTTCGCAAAATATTCTGGACCTTATACTTTCTAATAATCCAAACATCATTGAAAATGTCAAGGTCGTTCCTGGAATGAGTGATCACGATATTGTGTTGTTTTCTGTGAACACTTTATGTCGTAGAAACAAGAACGTGAAACGCAAAATATTTATCAGGAAGAAAGCAGATTCTATCCGCATTAAAGAAGAACTTGTAAACCTCTCGTCCCATGTATGGAAGCATGCAGATTTAACTCGATCGACGAAATATGGAACTGTTTTGAAGAAAATATTCACCGCATAATGGACACATGCATTCCTTCCAAAATGACTAGCTAACTTACCATGGTTCAACCGCTCGCTTAAATGTCTATCTAGAGCAAAACAAAGGCTATACAACAAAGCAAAAAAAATCTGGAAATCAAGACGACTGGGAAGCGTTCCGTAATGCTAGAAAACAAATGCACAAAAGTCTTTAAAAAGCAAGGAAATACTAAATAAACATTTTTCAAGTGTTTTCACCAAAGAAAACCTCTCAAACATCCCTGATGTCGGAAATGACACTAAACCCCAAATCGATCATCTGTACATCACTGTAAATGGGGTATTAAAGCAATTATCGTCCTTGAAGCCAAACAAAGCTTCCGACCCAGATACTATTCCTCCCTGGTTTCTTAAAGAATGAACCGTGTTAGGTCCTCTATTATTCCTGACATATGTAAACGATTTATCTAATGGTTTAACCTCCAAAGTTAAACTCTTTGCAGATGACACTCTTCTATACGGTATTGTTGTGGATGATCCTGACTGCGACAAACTACAAGATGATCTTAACAAATTAGAACATTGGCAACACCGATGGCAGATGGAATTCAATCCCTCAAAGTGTAAAATTATATGCTTCTCAACAAAGCAAAAGCCCCCTCATCGGAAGTACAGTTTCTGTGGTTCTGAACTTGAGCAAGTCGACTCCATATCGTACTTAGGAGTTATTGTAAATAGTAAATTGAAATGGTAGCACCAAAAACGAGGATCCATAACTTTCGGTACGGACCGAGCAAACGAGTTTAATAAAATATCTATTATATGGCAAGGCATTGAGATTAGAAAGAGGCAAAGCAACAAAAAGTAAAGTTGACAGCGCATGTCAAACGAGAACTGCATTGGAAGGGCTTCCTGTACGTGCCAAAAGTCATGTAGTGTTTGAGTCGCTCAAAAAGAGAAGTTTTAGTTTACTTTGAAAGAATTTAGCTATAGTATAGAGTTTTCTGAAATACTAGTTAACAAAGTGAGGCTTTCTTTTGCAAAACATGTAAATGCAAAGCAAAAAGGTATCAAAAGAAGACCTCAAGAACTCAACATGAGATTGAGAAGTAAACTGTCGTACTTCAAACTTCAAGATATTCACAACCAAGATGAAAGATACTACAGCCTTCCGTTTGTTTTCCTGCGTTTTATAGCAAAAAAAAAATCAAAAAACCCTCTCCAGAAATGAATGAGAAGCTTTGGAAAATTACGATTCGCTGAACATGGATCGTCACTTTTCAACGTTTTGACTGTTTGAAGCAGGCCTCCCGATATGCACAATGGCAGAAGTCATGAAGACGGCACACTTTCGACTCAATTAAAAAAGGAACTGCCAACTCTGCTGTCTAAAAATGCATTCAAATCCAAGTGTGGATAAAATATAACTGAAATATGGAAATACTTCAAGAGCGGATAAGCCTAGAAAACTAAAACGTTAACGAAAGAAACTAATGGCTTCTTCACCCGATCAATTCAGATAAGTTCAAACTTGACGTTGTAAGCTCACTGAAATAACAAATTTACGTTAATTCTACTTGTAAACCTATCTTTATTTCATTTACTGAATTAGTCACTATTCGCCACCCTTTAGTTCGTAGTTTGACATAGTTTTAGTTTTAGCATAGTTAGTTTTCCTAGTTTTTTTCTAGTCGTGCAAAATCGCTCAACTAGTGCCGTGTAAAGCCTTGATCGAAAGAGTTGTCGCTTGTGATGAAAGAGTTGTCGCTTGTTTGATAAGTTTTACATTAAATGCCAGTGACTTTCAGCTATCTTTAATTATTTATTGAAGGTTTCCCGATGATTTTCATCCAGAAATATATTTTTTAATGAAGATTTGAATGTTTTAAAAGATCATAAGTACGTCAACACTCAGTGAACCATTTCATTTTTCAGTCCGTAACGTAAGTTATCATANAAACTGTCGTACTTCAAACTTCAAGATATTCACAACCAAGATGAAAGATACTACAGCCTTCCGTTTGTTTTCCTGCGTTTTATAGCAAAAAAAAAATCAAAAAACCCTCTCCAGAAATGAATGAGAAGCTTTGGAAAATTACGATTCGCTGAACAT